CAGATATGAGCTAGACTACTGAAAAGCAACACGTAGGCATCTTTCCATTATTCCATCATCATACAGGCAAACAAAAAGATCAAAGAAAGTCTGCTCTTGCAGTACTACTGCAATCAGCCAAAATGCCTAAGAAATTCACCTTGCCATCTACAAATTCTGAAAGTGAGATATTTGTTTTCCCCCATGCTTCCGAGTTTCCATAGTACACAAGCCAAAAAAATCTTTTAATAATACTGTCAAATTACTGTCTCCACTGTAACAATCCTTAAATGTTTTGAAAGTTCTGCCTGTAATAAATAATCTGGAAATTTTAATATTTAGACAATGAGGACAGAATGCATATAATTAAAAAGTAATAATGGAGTAATACATCTATCCAACGGTATCTGCGAGTTCCTTACACTGTCAGTAAATACTACTGTACCTTCCTTCCCACATCCCACACATCACTGTGGCTGTAGAATGATCTCACTAAGGTTTATCCAGGCCACACCTGAAACTGTGAGTCTTATCCAACGTGGAGCACTAAGCCTACTTACTAAAACAAGATACCGGATAGAGCCCCTAGAAACTCCCCCCCCCCCCCCCCCCCCAAAAAAAAAAAATATTGGTCAAATAAGGATTTCCTGCAGCATGGTAAATGAGGAATCCAGCAACAGACTTCAGCTTAGACTGTATTTTGAGAGAAAAAAACCCAAACCAACAGACTTACAGTAAGATTGATCTGTCTGACTTTGTATTTTTCACACTGTCTTCAAAATCTCCCTCTATTCCTTTCTTTCCTGCAGCATGGCTACTGTGAAAAAGCTTGAGTGAAACTTAGAGTAAAATCCCTTCACATAGCTGAATAGTGACCCTCAATGTGTTGTTGACTACATTGAAATGTTTCTGGTTTGACTGATAAAACTGGAAATGTTATGGGTAACCAAAAGCCAAAAAAGAGGAAATACCAGTAGCTCCTCTTCTCAAACTGAACGTATAGTTTTGCAAGATCTCTACTAAACTAATAAAGTGGACAGGGACAGATGGCTTCAGTTGTTTAATGCATACTGAATTTTAGAATTTATGGTTTAAGTCAAAAGAGGGACCGTATTTACAAAAGTGTGAATTTCTAAAATACCGTAATTAATTACCTACACCAGGACATTTTAATTTCCTAACTTAGGATGGTCTCTCCAAAGCATATTTAATTTACTGGTCTCTTAGCTAGAGGTAGGTCATTTGTAGGCCTTGTTAATATGCTATGCATATTAACACTAGTTCACTAATGTAATAGCCTGCAGGATAACCATGCACAGACCTCCAAGAACAGCAGCACGTATAATAAATTAACTAGGTAAATTTTATTTTTTCATGTGGGTTAACATGTCTTTCTTTTCTCCTAATATTTAATTCTTTTGTGAAGAACATATAATAAGGAAAGGGTCATGAAGTTGAGTAACCTGAAAGTCTCTGCACCTTATAACCAAAGGCTGGGAGTCTAGCAATGTCTTTATATGCAGCCCTTTTTCCCCCCATTTAGAGTTTTTGCAAATCACACAGTCAATTCTGACGGATATCCAGCATAAAAAGTCTCTTCTCCACTTTCAAACTTAAAAAAGCGATTCACAATCATGTGGCAGTATGATTAAAAATTACAGTCCATACACTTTGACAATCAAAAGAGTCTGAATTATAAAAAGTAAACTGCCCTTATAGCTGCATCATCCTATATATGTAAGGACAGTGCCAGTTGATTTGTGAAAAAGGCAAGTTTAAGGTTTCTGTAAAACACATATTACAGCTTTCTTGTGCTAGTGAACATCTAGAATACACAGGTTCCCAAGACGTTTTCCTTCCCTCCTCCCCCATTTATGACATTCAAAGAAATCACATAATTTTGGCAAAGTTAAATGGGTTTCTATCTTGATGTTTTTGCCTTCAGCTTCAAGTTAGAGGCACAAACTTCTGGACTCAAGCACTATAAGGCATCGCAGAAACCACCAATTAAAACAACAGCAACACCACCACCACCACCACTATGGAACATACTGCAAGTGGGAACAGCTGTGTCATTTAAAAAGGAAATGTTTTTGTAAACTGTCACACTGCAATGCTGTGTTAGGTGATTCATGTAAAGCTTGCCTTGGCATGCCGAATATTTTTTTTTTTTTTCAGAACATGCTCAAATGATCTAAACATTGCCACAGGTTCAACTTACCTAATATATACCAGAAGTAGCCCAGTGGCACACACTCTTGAAAAATTTGCAATCACAATGTAACTATAAAGCATGACCCCAAACCTTTTTTAGACACCCCGGTCTGTCCTTTTTTTTTTTTTTTTTTCCTTTTTCTTTTTTGGCCACAGTTCCATTCATAGCACTGAATCCAGCATGGGCAATGTATTCCCAGGTTAAAAGAAGGGATATTATCAACAGTGGAACTGTGAAAACAGAAGCTCTGTTGCATTTATAGCAAGATCAGGACCAATTCTGTAATGCTGTATGTAAGAGTCACTGCTCTGATCCCCTATTCAAAATGTCAGTGTAACTTTTTATAGCCTAGATCTACCTGCTTTAGCTTTATTAAATAAAATGCTTTAACGCCTTAAAATCATTAACAATAGTGACTTTTTGGTTGTTGTTGTTATATCTAAGGTTTCTGCAGTTTCTGAAAGACTGTTGGATTGATCTGACGTTCTGTACTTTTTCATGGCATTTTTAGGGCAACAACATATACCCATTAGTACTTACGCACAATGGCTTGAAATATCTCTAGATTTGCTTTTCTAATAAAGCCTATTAGAAAAGTAAAAGTAACCTAACGTGAATCTGCCAAATGTAAATTAAATTTATATTTAAAAGCTTATGTTCCAATCCTAGATATAACGGCATAAATTCTTCTAGTAAGACTGGTTTCTACACCTGTATAAAGCCCTGACATGATTTAAGCATTGTTTTGAATGGCCTCTGTCTGGGTGTCTCCAATTTACTTCTGTTCAGGAATGTGCAAATGATTTTATACAGCACGATGCTAGTACCGCTCTGTACTATAGTATTTTTTTTTGTTTTGTAAATAAAAAACAACAACAAATCCCTAGTCAGAAATAAACTGACAAAATTTACATTCTGCTCTCTTAAAAAAGTAAATAAAATAACATTATTTAAAATGTGAATTAGCTATAAGACATACAATACAATTACATAGATACATATCAATACAGCACATTCAATTTGCCAAAAATTAATGATTACAAAGCCAATATGGATGCTGCCATATATATATATAGATGTATGTACAATGATTATAGCATTCATAATTGCACTATACCTACAACCAGTTTTAAATTACAAGGTGTTTTGAGAGGGGGCAAAAAATAGCAACTGTTCTTAATATTGTTGTTTTGGAGCTGGGAGGGTTAAGGATGAAAAACGTCTCATTAGTATTTATTGTTAACTTTGGTAATCAACTAATAAGCCATTATTTTTTTCCACCTCCCATCCGCTGCTATGAGGCAGCAATTTCTGTGTTAAGTGCACTCTAGTGCTACTTGGCATTGCAGATAATCAATCCAATTACATGTCTGAACTCTGAGTTTTCTGTAGCTTGCTAGCAATCATGCACCTGGTCAAAAAACACCTTTCAACCTAAGCTGCAGAATAAAGGCTCATCAATGTGTGCTGCATTTTTGTTGTTAAAAAATTGCACATTTAAATTTCAAGAATGATTTTCTCACTGCTTCATTTACATTAATAAATCTTTTCTAAAGAACATTGAGAGAGGCTATTTTTCATGAAAGCCTATCAAATGTCTGTGAATCAGTTAGTTAACAAGCAACCTTATCAAGAAAGGTTCCTGAAAGTCATCTCTCATCAATAGTTTCTTGTTATACAACTAAAGGTGCCTTGATATTATTACAGAAAACAATCTCATGCCATACCTGACATAAGAAGAGATTTAAACTGTCTTTAAATTAGTAGACCACATGCGTGTGCATGGTGCACCTCGTAGCATATTCACTCACACTGTTGGTTTTGGCAATAGAAAATGGAACACTTTCCAAAAAAGGGAACATATGAGCTGAAACTGTTTGTTCATCATTTGGCAGTTGACTCAATCAGGTCAGTTCCCAACCCATCAGTTTGGCATTTCAATCAGTATTTTATGTTTCAAGAGCATTGGTTTTATAAAAAGCCAGATTTGGCAACATTAATTTTATACAATAAAAATAATCTTTCTACTGTGGAAAAAGAACACTTAGAAAAGCTCTAACTTAAGAAAAAAAAACCCACGCAACTGAAAAAAACCCACTGTTTCAGGCTGTAGCCACTGGGGAAAATGTAGTGTCTATAACATTTCTATTTGGCATTTGTGAATAAAAGAAGAGAGAAAAAAATGGCACATGGCAATTAAGAGATTCTAAGATATTCCACATACATCCCAGGTTGTGTCTTAATTTTTTCATTACTGTCTTCTCTGCACCTTTCTGAACTGTGAAAATATGGTTAAATTTAATATCCTTAGACAACTGTAATTTTATTTTGCAATCCCAATATTCTAGTCCCAAAAGTGAAGACAGAATTAAGACACTCATGTCAAGAATCTAAAAATCACAGTATCAATACTTTTGATCCTTCAGAGAAAGTACATACTGTAAAATTAGAATGACTGATGACTTCAGTTCTGATGATAGGGGAAGAGGAAACCAGCTTGATTTTGCTTCAATAGCAAAAAACTGTTATCCTTTGTGAGTGTACAACTGAGAATTTAAAACACATTGAGTCACAAGGTTTTGCCTAAAAAATGAGGAAATGTGCTGTGAATGTACTTCAGCATCTTTTGGTTTTCCTCCATATTGTTTAAATAAAATCATAATATTAACTACAAACTCTGTGGACATTCACAGAGTCCAGGCCGGCAATAAATTAGTATTATGCAAATTGTTTTCACAGATAATACAGTCCCTCTTGTATATCTTTAATCACGCAAAGTTGGTTTTGGAGGGCCTCCTAGGCACAGTTAGACCAGGTTGTACTCCTTCAGGTTTAACTGTAGGATTGTGTCCTTGACAGCAGCAAAGACGAAGCGGATATTCTCTGTGTCTGTAGCGCATGTGAAGTGGGAGTAGATAATTTTGTCACTGTCTGGATTCAGGTCTACAAACATCTTCAGGATGAACTCTCGTGCCGCTTGTGCATCCCGTTGTGGTCCTGATGATTAAGAAGAGAAAGTCAGTTTTCTTAAAGTCGATTCAGTATTTGAACTTCTTTAACACAAAACAAGAAAAGTCAGTCTGTGGTCCTCATGTAAGAGAAGACAGGGAACTTTTTACTAATCAATAGTATCATACAGTGGCTACTTTTTTCCTGGTAGGAACTATGAAAATAAAGATGGAAGGAAATTTTAGAAGTTCATCGAGTCAGAGCTATCATGTCAAAGTTGCCCTTTTCCTCCTGACTATCCTCGTTCTTTGGTAAGATAACATTTAAAACAGGTGATTTATAACTGCATGTAATGAAAAACAAAAAATTAGCTATACTAATTAATCTTTGAAAACGTTAATAGAATTGGTCAATGTTCAGTCTACACCTACTATATATAAATTATACTTAACTTCTTTTAGCACTGCAACATTTAGTAGTTTTTTGAGGATTTTAGTAGGTAGCATAATGAAGTTATATCCTGAACTGGTCTAACACTATCACCAACAGAACTTTATTTACTTTAGTGGTAATAAAGTACACATGCTCTCCAGCTGAAGCTGTTTGATTGCAAAAGGCCCATGTTATCTAAATTATGTATGATAATGATCCTATCAGATCTAAATTAAGGTTGTAATTCTCAGAAGGATGCAGAGTCTATGTAACCAAACCACGTGTTCAGCTTTACTGAAGACAGAAGGTAAAGTAATGACTTCCAGCCTGGAACAGTGAGGATTCATTCACGCTCACAGCCAAAAGAACAGTGCAGAAGCAGGAACATTAGCCACAAGATGTAGAACTCTGTTCCATTATTCCAGTGCCATTTCTGAAGGCCATTATTCCCTTGCTCTCAAGCTTCTGGAATGTGGGTTTCTACAGAATGCACGTTTTCTGTGCTGCCTCCTCCTCCTTTTCTCTTCATTAGTCCTGGTCTAGTTACATGGCAATATAAATACCAGTGCTCAGCTGTTTTATGGAGCTCTGTCCTTCAGTAGTTACGAAATCTGTACTTCGGGGGTTAGCCCATGCCCACGTATTTTTCAACAACTGGAAAATAAACCTTATTTTTAATACTTCAAGCTTACAATTGCTAACATTTCCAATTTGGGTAACTACATAAAACTCAGGTAGGGAATGTGGGGAAGAGAAATCACATACTTTCTGGTGTGCTGCCGAGCCATGTGGAGGGGGAGTAAGATTCTGGAACATATGGGTGTATGCATATGAACATGTATGTAGATATATGTACATACATACACATATACAGATTACACATTTCCTGAGATTTAGGCACATAAACAGATCATAAGCTCTCTGAAGCAGGACAGAGAACTGTTCAACACTTCTACAGCTTCTAAAACACAACAGGGTCTAGCCTTTGGCTTGGTCACCCAGACTCTATAGAACAGCAACAACAATAAGTCTCACACTGCCACAAATAAATTTGCAATATTTGTGAAGAAAACTCTTAGACTTCCAAAGACAATGATTTCTTCAAAATAAACCACTTACTGTTTTAAACAACTTCCTAGAATTTTGTTAAACAGTTTCACAGTAGCTAGACACAGCATGCTCTCAAAATCTGCTGCACTATTCAAAGCCTGTATACAAATTTGCGTACCAAATCACACCTCTACTGACTATCACGTAATTTAAATTTTCATTTGACTGAAGTTCAAGTATGGAAAATTGAGGTTAGAAAGAATGTTTATGACCTCAGGAATTTAGAAAAAAAATTGAATGAGTCAGTGTTAAATTCAGACTGCAAAGTGGTTGTGATCTAAATAATATGGAGACTTGGAAAAGAGCTGCCATATAAAGCAGTCAGTTTCTTGTCCACTGCTCCCTCATCAGCAGTTTTTGAAGACTGTCTCTACATGATACATTCAAGATCTCTATAAGAAGTACTACATTAATATTTTTCTCTTCTTTTCCTCCCAACTATGGCCGCTTTTTGTCTTTGTCCTCTCTCCCTCCCCCAGCTCTTCATTCCAGTCTGTGAGTCAGTCTTCTAGTACTAGCCGTGCAGGGATGCCTTCATGCAATACACAGACCCCTGAGCATGCCTCAGTCCCCCTTCCAATGCTGTTACAATACACTGTGCAGCAGAACAACCTAGCTTAATTTAATCAGTCCAATTTGCTATCCTGGCTAGCAGGTCTCATCCCTATGCTACTTTCTCCCTTGTGCAGGAAAACAAATGGGAGAAGTGATCCAGCAGAAAAATACCGAATTCTGATCTCTTCCTCAAATTCTCCCACCTCCAATGTCCCCAGTGTGCTGGGACAGAAGAGGGGACCACATGGTGACCTCTGCAAGCCACAGATCCTATCCTGCCACCAGAAGAAATCAAATCAAACCATAACCTTGTCTGTGGAGTTAAGACCAGCAAGATCTGCACAATTAAGAGACAAAGACTCTTGAAGACTTCCAGGTCTTGACTCCAACAGCCCTACCAGTCCATAATCTTTTTTTCCCTCACCAATGGCAAAGGACAGGAGAAATACGGTTTCTCTGAGCTGAGTGGTTGAGTTTTGTCTGTTTTTTCTGGACAAGCATTTAACACAGGCTTGATTGTCACTTGAGTGGTGATAACAGAGAATACTGTTCTCACCTTCAGGATGTCATCTAGGGAAATTGTCCTATGAAGTAAACTCAAAAGAATGAGCATATTTCTATTCAACTGCCAGTTCTCTTCTGCATAGCACTATGAAACTAAACTTACAGTGACTCATAAATAATACAGTCTGATACTGCAGGCTGTTCACTGTTTCCTTCCCCTTAAACAGGAAACAAAATGTAAATTTTTCCTATTATTACTCTCCATATTTGAACATGAGAGATTTAGTCTTTTATTCTGCTTTCAAATGTGCTATTCACTCCCTGGTAGGACAAAGATGATTTTCTTTTTTTAAAAATAGGAGCATTTAGTTCTTTAGACCTGTTATTATATGGGTTTGATTTTTCTCTGTTACCACAGCTTCCACTCAGTTACCTCAAAATACTTAGCTTTTTATCTCAGGAGAACTTTCCGAAAGTACAGTTTCAGTAGAAACAGCTGTACAATCCACACAATTTTTTTATGGACACGCACATTAAGCTTCACATATAAATAACGTAAAATTAAAACAAAGGAAAAGAGAGGTACAATAAAAGGGTGGAAGAAGTGCTACTGGTTTGTCTGGGTGCCACAGAGAGCTTATGAGACTTGCCCTCAGATATTCAGCCTTACACAAAACCAAACCTCAAAAAAAAGAGCATGGGAGATAATGTGTGAAAGCAAGGAATGAGGAATGCTTTTTTTT